AATAATAATAATAATAAGATCCTATTCTAAATTTAAGCTACAAAATCCCAAGACAAATATAATGAAATCATCGCCTCTATACCAGTTGTTAAGAGTTATAAGACTATCGAAGAGAAGGTTGATATATTTTGTTGTAAAAGTCTGGATATTAGGGAATGTTACAGTGAATTAGGAGCTAATATGTGTATATTTGTGTCTTTTACAATTTGTTTTACAATTCTTTAATGGTTCCTACTAATTGGGTCTAGACCTGTTAGGAGACCTTACCAAATAATAATAATAATAATCGTTAGAACTCATTTCAGTGGAAGTAGGTTTATCAGAGGCAATATGACGACCCAGCGTTACATCCACGAAGACTTGGAAAGTCATGTTCTGCCCTATCTTAGGACCCTCCTGAAGCCTCTTTTTCAACAAAATAGTGCGCGGCCACATGTACCCAGAGCTACACTGGAAATTTTTGAACAAAATTGCGTCAATTTCTTGCCTTCGCCACCTCGATGTCCGGATTTTTCACCCTTTGAACAAGTCTGGGACATAATAGGGAGAAAATTGCTCCATTTACCCAATCCTCCACAGACTCTGGCAGACTTTCGTCATGAGGTACACGGAGCCTGGGACGCTACACGTCAGGAGGAAATTGATCACCTCATTAGAAATAACCCAGAGGTGTTACTGAGTCCGTACGCACCATGGAGTTCCTACAGACTATTGATGTTTTCGTGCATAATGATGGTCTGATTTACTTTAAATTTTGACCATTTACTTCTATTGCTGTAATAACCACATATACAAAACTTATTAAAATATGCTTACTATTACTGGGTGTTCTGATTTTCATGTCACGTAGTTTATATTAGAATATACAGTGGCGAACAAAGAATTTCGGACATTATTTTCATAAGGGCAACGTGGTTGGCGATACACTTCGGCAAATATTTTGTGTGTTTTTGGTGTTGTGGGGATAAACGTTGTATTATATAAATATGTATGTGTTTAAAAAGAAATCATTTTTTAAGTGAAGGACGAATGTAATAACTAATCATTAATAGAAGACATACTGCTGGAAAATTTTTGCAGAACACAATTTTAATTCTTGAAATAAAACAAAATTTGGCAACTTTTATTTGTTGTCTAAAAATTGCAGTAATTGGAAAATTGTTCCATAATTTTCTAACATTTTGTACAAGATTCATGCATTTTTTCTTAATGGGCCTAAAATATTTTCTCGATGGTAATCTACCATCTAAAATTAAATATTATCTGTTGTACTTTAATATGAAAGCACGACCTATTCTCTGGCAATGGTATGGGGGTAATCTAAGAACCTCATCACAACTTTTCCGCAATATCTCGTCTGTAAAAGATTGTTTTTTTCAATCTGTTCTAAAGGATTCAGTTGTTTTTTCGAAAAATTTTAATGAAATCCCAACCACTCTTTCATTTGAGTTTTTCTGGTAGAAGATGTGGATGGTTTGTGTAACTGCGTCGAATAGTTTGATACATTGTCCATTACCATTACAGGCCTTTGTTGCAACTTCTTCAAAACAGGATTAACCACCCAATTTTGAAAAAGTGACCAGCTCATCGTTTTATGTTAGTCTCTGTCCTTATTTTCAAAATTTAATAAAAAGTTACAACCTTTTAAAGAGCGTTTATGACAACTATTGTAAAGGATTCTCATTTGCTATTATAAAGAATCATTGGCTGACATCTATAGATAGAACAAGAAAATACAAATTGTGAAAACAAATTTTGTACCACCAAAGATAGATTCCACATTGGACCATGGCGTGCCTATGAATGTAAGGTAATCAGCAGACGCCTGATTTTGTTATCAATTTTTTTGTTTACGCGAGTACTCTTAAGTTCTGCAGTTGTATAAAGAACATTTCTATCAATAGGATGACTACGTTATCCTTATTTTGAATCCATTTTTGCTTAAATTTCTGTACCTCGGATAGGCCTAGGCAGATAATAATAATAATAATAATGATAATATTTATGTATTTAGTTTAATTACAATACATCACTATTGTTTGTGCACATGTCAGTTTACAATTTATAATATTTAATTCAAATTTAAATTAAGTTTAAAATATTTTGTCATTACAAAATTCTTCAACACTGTAAAAAGCTTTGCATGTCAAGTAATGTTCTATTGTCGTTTTAAAATGTGTAAATGGCGAATTTTGTATTGCAACGGGTAACATGTTAAAAAACTTTATTCCAAAATATTCGGTACCTGTCCGAGATTTTGTCAATCTCAAATTTTTCAGACACAAGTCTGTATTATGACGCGTATTATAGGTATGGACATCGCGGTGTGTCTTATAAACGGTTAAATTAGATTTCACGTAAATCAAACAATGGAAGATATAAAGCGAGGGTAAAGTCATAATTTTAAAACGTTTGAAGTGGTCCTTACAATCGTCACGATATTTTAAACCACCTAAAACTCTAACAGCTTTACGCTGTAGACCAAATATTCGGTGTCTTGAGCTCGAGTGACCCCAAATCAATAGACCATATGATAACTGTGCTTGGATAAGGGCAAAATAGGCTACTCTCAAAGTTTCAAGGGGAAGTTGGTTATAAAGGTGTCGTAGTACAAAAATATTTTTACACAATTTATCGGCAACTATTTTCCGATGATCATTCCAAGTTAACTGACGATCAATGTGCAAACCCAGGAATTTAGTGGACTATGAGTATTCTTCAGGTATTTCTTCTTTGTTTAGACTGAATAACATATTAATGCATTTGTTTTCGTTAGTTGTTAACTTATTGCTGTGAAACCAACGCGTAGCTCTCGACTGCGCCCTTTCCAAATTGTCTCAGCAATGTTTTTACCTACTGTTAAAATGGTTGTATCAGCGGCAAAAAGTAATGAGCGAGTCTGCAAATATCCCAGAAAGTCATTGATGTAGAGTAGAAACAGTAGGGGGCCCAATACTGAGCCCTGAGGTACACCGTGTGTAATGGGGAGGCTTGCAGAGTTTGCAGACCCGTTTCTTACAATTTGCCAACGCTCTTCCAAAAAAGATGAAATTAAAAAAACGACGCCATGCCTACTTCACCCTTTTCCAAACACTTAATGACTGTATCAGTTAATGCCAGTATTGCATCAGTAGTGGACTGGCCTTTCCTAAATCCATATTGAACTGGAGAAATTAATTTATTATCTTCCAAAAAGGAACTTAATTGATTGCACAGAATTTTTTCCAATATTTTGGAAAAAACTGGTAGTAATGCTATTGGTCGGTAATTACTAGGTTTACTACTATCACCATTTTTATGGATGGGAACAATGACACCTGTTTTTAAACACTTTGGGAAGATAGAATTTCTAATGCATAAGTTAATTAATTTGGTTAATGGCGATATCAGTAAATTTTTTATATATTTAATTATAGTTACATTAAGTCCGAATATGTCAAGTGAATTACTAGGTTTTAAACTATCTATTACATCTCTAACCAGGATACCGGATATTTCAGAAAAAGATTATCATTATCCCTTTGTCGGTCATAAATTTCAGATATCAATTCTGATTATTTAGTTGCGTTTGATGTTTTTACTTCTTTTTCAGTTTATTTATTTTTTCTTTTTAAAATTTCAGCTGTCTTTAAATAGCAAATTAATGATGTTTTTCACAGCCTCAACTCGAGAGATTTTCGCACAAGAAATGTAAACACTTTATCTCAGTTCATAATTACCATATGGAACAGACATGATACCCTCAGCAAAAAAAAACAAACAAATATTTGTGTTTAATTATAAAAATTAGAAGTCGTCTATAGTAGCGTGCGTGCTTTTGCTTCGTCGCTTTGCTAAACTATAAATTGTTTTTATTTATGATTATGAAACATTATTATAAAAATTGCGTCTGTAACTCATATTTCATTCTTTCTATTTTAATACCTACTCCACATATTATCATTAAATTAATGTGGATCAAGTTTTCGCTTGTTGTCCTTTGAGTTTCAGTTCATAATAACACGGTTTATGTGTGTATCAAAAGAAATCTGAAACTATAATCACGGATCAGAATGCGGTCATTTGTATTCAGTCTTTGTTAGAAAACATAAAGAAAATTCAAAAGTTTCCGACCTCATTGTTTTTTATGTTTCTAAATATAGTTTAACTATTGCCACTTGGTGGTTGAATAGAAATAACGTGAGTTGTAATTTTTTACGATATTTTTCTTCTACGATTATTCCAAGGAAAAAAAAAATGAGTTAGAGAGATACCAATCCTTTCGAACATCGTCGAATGAACACTTAAATGCAGACTTCGACGTCGCCATCATAAAGAATGAGGCTTTTTTCCATAAAATCTAAAACATCGATTTTACTCAGTTCCCAATAATAAGCTAAATGTACTAACAATTTGTCATATTTTCTTGAACTCGTCTCAAACTTAGTAATATCACCGCTCCCTTCCTGACTTATGACCCTCGTAAACAAATCTCTGCAGGCAAACATAAAATGGAATTTGCGTCCGAATTGACACATTGTGCCTAGAAATAAAATATTTAGCCAACGGAATAAAATATCTGCGTCCTCCGAGGAAGTCGAATCCAAAACAAGATTTATTGCTGGCGTCGCTGCTAAGAGTTAGAAGCAGCCGAGTATCACGTACGTTTCAAAATTGGCGCCCGTTCTTGCGTTCCAATAATTTCCGATTACATCTGCTCTTATAATAAATGGTGCGTAGATCGTCTAGACTAAAATGTAGATGGCTATCGAACGCACGATAAATTTCCATAATAATATTCCTTGGGGTTGTTGGAAACGAATGTTAGTGGGAGAGAGACAAGCTGTCATTTGCATGCCTTCAAAAACACCTCGATGATCATCTACAACATCTGCGTCTGCTTTTTATATATACCTTTCGTAAATATAAAGATGCGATTTTTTTGCCTGTTTCGGACGTGTCTTGGTAAAATGCCAGCAATTGTTTTTTCAAGTTTTCATATTTTAACTGTTTTGTTTCAGAGGAAATTTCTGGCATTTTCGTAAAGAGCATCAGTCAAGGGAGCGCAGCAGATTTGACCAAGAAAATTAAAGTCAATGACAGGATCGTAGAGGTAAGTTCTTTGTTGTACTTTCGGTCGAGCTCGACAAAGCTCTTGATTGAACTATCACAGTGGGCGACCCTGATGTCATTATAGTGAGCACCGAATCAGAAAGACTCGAATAGTAGATGTAATTTTACTTGAATGGTATCAACATTTTTATCGTTTTGCTTTCTATAGATATCAGCACGACACTCGATATACCTCCATATACTTCCAATGTTGACATTCCGTTCAACTGGAAAATTAATTTTGTTTGAAGTTTTTCAACACACATGTTTACAGAAATATAAACAGTACGATTTATTTGCCGATTTTTTTTTTAATAAACAGGGCGTTTTCAATTTTATTTTCAATTTTAGTCGGCGTCCTGGAACGCTGTAAGTTTTCAAAGAACATTTTGTTAGGAAAGAGCTTTGTACGACGGTTTTCTTTAAAAAATATTTTATTCATCGAACAATCATTTTCATATTCACTAGAGTGTTGTACATATTTATTTCCTAAGGATTATTACATTTTTGCCGAACTGCTTAAAATCGATTTAAAAATACACTTCGTTGTCTTATTCTCGATTTCTTTTGTTTCAAACATTAGAAATTCAGAGACGGTGAATCCTTTTACATATAAATGCAAAGGGTGTATTTCCTTTTGTTCAGTTTCATTATCTGATTTTACTAATGAAGCTATAAATTGCCTTTATTTTACGTTTATTGCGTCGAAGTGTTTGGACGGAATAATTATTCTTCCACCGCCTCGACAATTTATTTCCTTCTTGGGTTGTAAATTTTTTTCAGTGATGTTTAAATAATTGAAATCTTTCATATGGAGGGTGTTTTTATATCAGATAGGAAAATATATTCGTTAGTGTAAAAAAATAGATGCAATATTTGTATATTTTTTTATTATTAATTATGGAAATGTTTTATAAAAGAATTTAAACCTCTAAACTAAATAAATAATACAATATGGTCTTGAATGGTTGATGGAAATTTAAATAATGAGATAATAAGAAAAATTCTGAAGACTAATATGGTTCGTATAATCCTGAGTGTGGAGTTTATACCAAAGCATTAAAAACACTTTAGTCCTGTGGTGTATACGTTAATTTTTGCATGACCACATCATTTAAAATATTTGAAAGTCAAGGAAAATTGTTATTTTTAAGCTAAAACTCAGCAGTTATATGGGTAAATAAAATGGTTGATTTTGAATTTATTGAAACAGTCATTTTAAGTTCGCGTTGCGAAAAGTAGCTAGAAGGCATAAATTTAACTCGTGGCGGATGGAAATTTGGATTGGCGGCCAAACTGTACGTGGAAAATCAAGTATATAACAAAGTTAAAACCACAAAAAAGATTCTAACGAACAATCTACATTTCGCTTTAATGTAAGTGTAGTTATTCCAAGAAAAGATATGGTAGGCTTTTCACTGAATAGGCACTTCTCTGCTATATTTAACAAGATTAATTATACACGCCTGCAAAATTTAATTGTTATTGTATTTCTAATTACGAACATGAATTTAATTTTTTGCTATCACGTAAGTTTTGTCTGGAAAAAAATACGAAAAATTAAATTTAAGAAATACACATTTTTAAAGAAAAGTTGGATACTTATTTTGTTTATGCATTTTTTATATACAGGGCTTTTATAAATGATTCTATGGGCGTAGTTGACCACGGATTTCAAAAATCCCGCTTCGCTGAAATTATGCCTCACAATGACAGATCTCACTTGTCAATAATGTCAATTGTAACCTGTCATTTAAAGTCGTCAGTAATTCTCGTTGATCCAAGCTCAGACCAACAAAACAGTCGTTTTCAAAACTTTGTTTTTGTCTTAGGAAGCGAAGACCGTGAAAATGGTTTATCTTGTTTAACAAGACATTTTCATTGTTATGTCTTGTTATCGCAATGGGACTTCGTAAATGAAGAGTATGTGTATTCTCTAACGGCTTGTAAGCAAGAATATCTGATCAATACCGTGATTTAATAATTCAAGGAACATTGTTGGAGGCTCACATCAAAGATGTAATTAAGAGATTTGTTCGAACTGGCAGTACTAACTAAGAGAAATCTCGTAGAAGACCTTCAATATCTGAGGAAGTTGTTGATGATTTGAGACGACTTGAGCAGAATCCGCAAATATCTTTGACAAAATTTCCTCTGCAGTCAAGAGTTTCTGTTGCAAAGAGTGAACATGTGCCTTGAACAAAATGGTGAACATTTTCAACCTTTACCTCAATAAATTTGTTTCTTGTTATTGTAATGAATTGGTTTTATTTTTATTAAAATATATGAAGCATTTAGGCAACCAGTTATACAGATGTGTGTGGTCTTTGGAATGCGTCCTTGGGCATTTAGTACAATTCAAATCTAAGAGGCGACACGTTTACATGACCTATTGCGACCCTCATAGAAACCCTGTTTTAACAAAAATACTTTTTTTGTATACGCTCCCAAAAACGGCTATTTTACGGACTCAAAAATGTCCGTAAGATAAGTCTTTTTCGGACTCAATCGCAAAGTGTTACCATGGCAACTATTGATCATCATCTCGGATATACAGTAATTACAATAATTAAATAACTATATTTAATCTAAATAGTAGAACAACACAAAATGGGTTTGTTTAACGTAAATTAATAATGTTATGATTATTAAATACTTAGTTCCCAAGCAATGCCCTGTATATCCCTGGGTTTAGGCAGTTTGCAAAAGAATGATGTCTACACGTTGGATGGCACCTTTCCTATTAGGATAGCCAATAAACAAATAATCGTGTTCAACTGTTGCGGGCCGTAATCGAACATATTTCTGGTATAATTCCAGGCCATTGACAACTTTGCGTTCAGCTCCCACTGGAAAGACTCTCTTAATGTTGCTCTTCGTATTGGGGATTACTACAATAATAAGACAATCTTCGTGTTTCTGAGCAATATCTTGAACCTTTAGTGAATGTAGCTCTTCACGCCTGTATGAACCACACACGCCAATGAGAAGGACAACCTACGAAATTAAAAATAAAACTGAGACATATCATTACAGTATTATTTAAACTTACTTTTACTTCTCATCGTCTGCATTTGTCAAAAATATGTTAATTTCTTCATGCGTCAAAATTTTTGACTTTGTGGGCTCGTAGCCTATTGAATTTCGCTTTAAGAACGCTATCAACTGAGGTTATACAACCTACTATTAAGTTCCACACTGTTCCGATGTCACAAAAATAATAAAACAACAAAAAAAACACAGAGTGAATCAATAAACATTTCCGCATAAGTAGATGCTAGACAGCTGTATCTATTTTTAGTAAAACTCACTCGCATACTACAAAATGGGACGGAGAAACGCAACAAACAGTAGTTTAAAGAGTGACTGATCAAGTGATCCAAACGTTCTGTTAAGAAGATATGCTATGGCGTTGGCACGCTTGACGATGTGAGTAGCATGTCCAGCAAAGGTTAAACCGTTATCCAATATCACACCTAAATGAGTTACTTGATCTAATGATTCAGGCACAGAATTGTTAATGCTGTACTGAACTCGATGATGTTTGTTGCCCATTCAAAATGCCGAGCATTTGTTGGTATTTTGAGGTAATAGCGTTGCGTAATTCATATGTAAATAAAGTCAAGACCCTCTTGCAGAGGCTGTTAATGGGTTACAATATAGTTTTTCGATCATCAACATAAAAAGCGTTTCTGAATTTTAACCCCACCTGTAGGTCAGCTATGTAGACTAAGAAAAGAATGGGTCCCAGAACAGATCTTTGCGGAACGCCTGATAGTACGCAGTTCCAACTTTGACTGACAATGTACGATTTGAAAGGAACTCCTTTATTCACTCTAGTAATAGTCCTTATACTTCCGCGTGTTCTAGCTTGAGCAAAAAGCGTCTGTGAGGGACTTGATCGAAGGCTCTAGGTAGAGGACGTCAACTGGTTCCGATTTGTCTAGATGAGATGTCCAGGTCTTTAAACACTGTATCAAACAAGTAAAGCGGTAGTTTTCAACTACAGTTTTGTCGCCTTTGTTGTATATTGGCGTAATCAGGGCATAACATCAAATAGATGGAAGAGATGACGACTAAAAAGAGCATTGCATGATGAAAGACAAGGGTTCAGAAATTGCAGATGCACAACGTTTGAGAAGAAGTGATGAAAAACTCTGTCATAGATAAACTATCAGGGGCTTGAATATGGCTGTAATGAGGAAGATTATCAATTGGTTCATTAACAAAAACATTGTTAAATACTGTAGCAAGTAAATTATCAGACTCAGATTCATCTGTTACTAGTTCATTGTTGCAGTCACAAACGAGGGGAACGGAAAATTTTTATAGTATTTTATATCTAATGTACTTATACACAGCTTGCAGGCCATTTTTTTTTATTTATTTAATTGAAAATTACTGAGTGGAGGATATATCCTTTAGGCACTCATTTCAAACATAATAATTAATTGAATGTGACGGAATTTATTTCTTTTTTAAAGTTTTGCACAGTGGGTGCTGTGACGGTGGTAGGATGTAAAGAGTTTCATTCAGAGAAAATCCTGTTAGGTAGAAAAAATTCGCGGCATTTTGAACTTGGATCTAGGAATTTTATACGTGGTTATCAATTTTTCTTAGTCTCCTAGAAACTAGTTCGAGGTTCATTATTGTGAGACGTTCTGCGTATGATGGTCTACGGATTCCATAGCCAAGGCGAGTGGCTCTTCGTTGCTTTTGGTCTAAGAGATTGGCATCTCGACGAAGTATTGGATACCACACTGCACTATTGTACTCCAAGTGGGGTCTAATGTACGTGATGTAAAGTTTACGGGTTGTCTCATTCGAAGGGTTCGAGAAAGCTTTGTTGAAAATATAAAGCGATGAGTTTGATCTGTTGCATATTTTGTTGATGTGTTCGGACCATGTCAGGCTGTCGTTGATGGTGACACCCAAGTCGTTAACTGACTTCACTGAGCGTAAGCAGTTCGCGTTGATACAATAAGTTTTATGGGAGTTGTT